ATGGAACGTATTTCCTTTTGGTAGAAACATGTATTGTACTTTATTCACATCGACCTGCTAGTAATAGGATATTGGGGAAAAACGTCCAGTGGCCAAGCTTCTAAAGAGCTCCTATAAGAGTGGACAAAATATTTTTAAGATCAAAAATGTTATTAAAATATATGCAAAAAAAATTCATAAAATATTATAGATATAGTGCACCCTAATTGAGTCGTTTATTTCCAAAGTGAACCCAAATCATCATTGACAATTTTTCAGTAAAAGTGAAAAATTAAATTTTTTATTACAATTGTGATATAAAACCAATATTTTTAAAATATTAAATAAAGTAAATTTTTATTTGTAGCGCTCATTTTAAAAAAAAATTTATAAAGTGATTAAAAAAAAATTGAAACTTAATTTCAAGGGAGGGGGAAAGAGGAAAGTTATAAAATTTGTACAAATAAAAATTAATTGAAGAGATGATTGATTAGGGGTATTCATTCAATAAATGTAAAAATAAATAAATTGTATTTATTTTTATTTTTGCCGACGTTTCGGCTCAAAGTTCAGGAATCAGGCTTATCAGATGAAATTCCCGCAAGACTGAACTGTGAATCTACAAGACCCACAATGAATCTACAAGACCCACAATGAATCTACAAGACCCACAATGAATCTACAAAAAATAAACTATTTGTTTACAATAATGGTGCTATCAAATAAATTTATTTTTAATGAAGAGAAGAATAGTTGGGGTGATCAGTCAAATAAGAAGGTAAAAATAAATTATAATATTTATTTTGACATTTGCCGACGTTTCGACCTGAAGTTCAGGCCTTCATCAGGGAAGGCAAGAACCAAAGTAAGAAAAGAACCAGATAACAGAGCATGAGTAACATAAGTAGTGTAGGTAAAAAAAATGAAGTAAAATGCAGTTGTTAGAATAATGGCAATAGTAAGAACTAAGAAATAAATAATAATAACCGTTACAAAGTGTGAAATGATGAAGTAAACATAATCAAAAAAGGTGACATAAATATTAAAATTGGAATCTTCGAATAAAATGTAAAACAGAAAAAAGGAATATGAAGTTATTGACTGATCACCCCAACCATTCTTCTCTTCATTATTCACGACAGTCAACTATTTACCCACAATTATAAATTTATTTTTAATTTACTTTTGAATAAAATTAAAAATATTTTAAACTGATTTTTTTAATGAAAACTACTTTCATTAGGAAAAAAAATCGGAAATATACTTGTTTTCATACCACTTTTATAAACATTTAGTCTCATTTAAAAAAAAAAAAATTGCATCATCTGATACAATGGCTGTTTTTACATGAGAATCGATACTTATCTTCATTTCTATAAAAATCAATTAGAGTTCACTTCGGAAATATGCGAATTAATTTATAAATATTTATGATGTTTATAGCATAGTTTTTTTTTTACTAGGATTTTTTCAGGAGGAAGGCAAGCTTAATTTTGCCGTTACTCTTCCACTCCCCAAGTTTACAGCATTAAGATAGAGGTGATAAATTAGGAAAAATCATAACTTCATAGCATTAACTCATCTTGTAACAGAATAACTTAAGATTCGCCCCTTAGTTGTAAAATTGAATATGTACATTTTATTCCGTCTCTTTAAAATGCTATAGTTTTAAGCAAAAATAATTGCATTAAATTATTACAAACATATTTTTCTCTTTTATCTGTGTCCTGAGATACCTTGTAATGATTTAGTTACTAAAAGATACTTTTCATTATAAAAAAATATGTAAAGAAATCAATTTTTTTTTCAAAAACAAATAATTACAAATTATCAGCTTAAGAGATAGTGCTATATTGAGGTTGTTGTTTTTTTCAGATATTTCAATTATGAGAAATAATCCTTATAGTATTAGGTGGATAACTAAATGTTTCTCTTTTCTAATTTTAATTCTATACTAATTTTTTCATCTAAATAATTAAATAATTGACAAGTTTATTTATTTATTTTTTAAAACAATTGTTTCCAGAACTTCAGTCAGTAAAAGAAGTGAGTTGTATTCGTCCCGAAATTTGATAAAACAACGTGCTCGGAGCTGATTTAATAGCGTTTGTCTTTTACATAACGTGATAGAAAGGAATTTTCCACAATTGTGAATGTGTTTTTTTTGTTGTTGTTGTTTTGTTTTTTTCTAAAGAAAATTACTCTTATAGTTTTCCATTATAATTAAAGTATATTTTGTTTGTCCAGACTTTATAAATCAAATTAGTTTTATTAGTCTTAAAAAATAAATCCTGATAATATTTTAATGTTCGAAATTCGGTTGTTTGCCGTAGGTAACTGCGAGTTCTCCACAACTTTCTGAGCTAGAGGCTCGACCAGTTTTTAAATATAATTGTTCACATTACTCAATGAGATCTCGTGAATGTTTTGAAACGATTTGACCTCAAAATATTGAAAAAATATTTCGTTTTATGTGAATAATAGTAAAGAACAAAAATGTTTTTGCTGTATTAGAATATAAGCACATCAAGTAAGTGTGTACACAGGAATAGAATCAAATGAAAAGGCTTGTTGAAAAACTACCCTACGGTAATACTCTAACTAATATATCTACATAAGAAGATCACGAGGCCATCTTATTTTCAGACGCTTAAGAGGGCAATCAGGGATCGAAGAGGAAGCAAGATTAGATGCGAGAGGGTTCGGATGGTTCGGAAGTTTTTTATGGAAGGATAGGTATTCATGAATTTGAATGGATTGGACAACAAGGATCAATCTGGATTGTGCCAAACCGGAAATATATGGTACATTAAGGTAGTTATGCATGATTTTACTTGTGACGAATAAGAAGCATTGAGGGTGTTTCGAAGGATTTTGGTTTGTAAGGATTGGATACAAGAGGAATTCAAAGGTTTAATGGAGCTCAATTCCGTAAGTCCAAATAGGCCTTATATATATATATATATATATATATATATATATATATATATATATATATATATATATATAAAGTGTTTTGTAATTAATTAAAAGCTTAGAGCTTTTGTCTAGTAAGTGCTAGAGTAGTCAGAAACGTCGAGCGGTTTCTTTTCGTTTTTAGTCTTGTATGAGGGAGCCGAATGCCACGATTGTCAAGGTTTCGTTCAACAGGGATAAGTGGAGTATTATTAAAGGATACTGTACTACAGGGAGACATGGGTTTACGACGAAGTGTAAAGGTAATTTGATAGAATTAATTAGAATAAATTTAATCCTCCAATTTTGACTCCATTCTTCAAAGGGCTACAATTAAAAAATACAAAACAACATCAGAAAAATGAAAATTATAAGAGAAGAAAATTATTTTGTATTTTCTAATTTTAGCCCTAATGACGACCCATATGTTTGGGTCGGAACATCCGTAAGCTCAATAAAAATAATTTTTGGCTGCATATTCCGATCATTAATTAGTAATGGTAGTAGGTTTTTTGTCCGTCACATGAATTTTACAAGACAGACTCGGAACCAAATTTGTTCTCTGATATATAAAACGTGAAACTTTTAAATGATTTTCTATTATGATCACACAATATTTATATATTTTGTATATATACATACATATATATACAAATGCAAACCATTTTTCTTCTCTAGGTTTGGTAGTGAGGAATAAAAAAACAGTGCTATTGATAAATTAAAGATTGATTTAATGTATGAAGTTAATATTTTCACAATTAATGTGGTTGATTCTCCTTTTTTATAATCTTCAATAGAAATTCTCGTTCATACAATCATGGTTCCTTATCCAGTAGCATAAATTAATCCAACTCAAGGATTACATCTTGCAAGTATTTTTAGTTAGTATTTAACGAGAGTTCCTCGTAAACACTAAAGTCATTCCATAAGACCAAGGCAAATGTTTTCCTTGTCGACATTAAATGGAGATAAAGTGCCTTTAGAATTCATATCTTTATTGCCGGGTATATACAGCAGAGCTGGCTTTAAGGATAGTCTCTCGCGTCGTTGCGGTATTATCTTGAGGGAACGCTTCCAAATTATTAGATCATGTCAAACAATGGTTCTATATTGAGATAGTGATGTAATGGGGAGAAAATATAATTGTTTTGACAATCGGAAAACAGTATTGCGTGAAGCTCATTCATTGTTTATATTTAAAAATTGAATGGCTGGTCAATCAAACGTTTCACATTTTATTGCTATGAGAGGTGAGATATAGACCTAGTATTTCTGATAATTTATGATGCCCAGTAAATGAACTCTCATAATGGATACTTTGTCGAAAGGCAAAAAAAAAAAATAATAAAAAATTGACAAACGTGGGTTGTTTTCTTAAAGATTTTTCCGTCTGATTAAATTTCTTTCACTGCACGAGTAGAAAGGAAATATAATTAATATATTATAGTTAGTAACATTTTTGAAGATTCGTTTTGTCCAGGATGAAAATGACTTGATCGTTTATTAATTATAATTTTATTACGAACATCATTCCAGTTCGATATCCTGTTCTGAATTGTTTCCATTCGGGTTTGTCTCCTTGGTAGAAGGAGAGCATCTAGATCTGGATTCAATGGCTGTAAACATGTTGATATCAGCATTATATCTTTTTTTCAAAGTAAATCATATCATATTCCTGATATACCTGTAGTTGTTCGACTGACAATTTTAAAAACGGTTCATGCTATTTTAGTCCATAAATGTAAACAATCTTACTAACCCACTAAAGACATTTAAAACGAGATATCCAAATTTTCGGTCAGGAAAAGTAAAACAGACGAACTCCGTGCCATGTCTTGAGTTCAGGCCTCAGGGTCATCGGAGGATGTTGGAATCGCTCCGTGAATTAACTATCAATAAAGATATGCCGACTGCAGAGGTTTGCGGTGTGTGCCATATTCTGTACACTCACATTATTGGTGTCCCTTATACACGCGGAATACCAACTATGTGAAATTGGGGTTTCCCTTTAAGGTTAAAGCATAGTCATCCGCGTGCTTGCATCAGAATCTTGAGGAAATTGAAGCATGGTCGAAACCATAAGCTTCCGTGTGTCGATAGTTTCAAACACGTCCAGCAATCGGCAACCAACTACCATTCCTAGAGGAAATCATATCCACGGACCGGATCAGGATGTTCTTTTACCTCGACATTCTACCAGGAAGTCACTTTTCAGAGAACTTCTGACCGCCGGAGAAGAACGGTGTTCGTCGGAGAAGGCCTATCTACCAGAAGCTGTTGGAGTACTAGAGTCTCTCAGATGATGAACGTGAACTTCTTTCAAGATCCGGGAGCAAGGCATCTTGCCCGACGGGTACTTCAGGTGGATTCTCCAAGGCATGACCGCTTACAGGAAGAGTATAGTCTGTTAATAGTTAGACGGCAGATAGAAAAGAATAAAAAACATTTTTACATTTGCTACTTATAAGAATTTTTGTCATAAAATTCGTCAGAGAATAAACCACTCATTCCAAAAATTGTAAATACAATTAAAACTTAATTATAAATAAAATTTTGTACAATGATGAAAACTATTTATATCCATGTTTCTTTGCGGTATAGGAAAACCGTTCTATTATTCATCCAAGATTTTACATTAAGGAGCTATATTTCATTTTCTAAAAGGCCTCATTGTGCACCATATACGTAAAATTTCTCTTCTTTCTAAATTTTCGAAAAAAAACAAAACAAATCGCTCAATGTGTAATAGCTCCAGGAAAAGAATTCGTGAATTTGGAACGGGATACATATGTAATGGAAAACACCAGCAACTAGTAATCGTATTTAAAACTATTAGCCTTCGCATTTGTTGCCTTTGAATGCAAAGAACGTTATAAAATTGTCTTCTCATCGTCAATGCACCTACACGAGTCTCAGAAGGACAAGGGGAAGAAAATTTCTATAATCTTCTAGAGAAATCTTTCAACTAATTTTTATAGACATGATATGAAGATCATTGTTGATTTTGTGTGCATCGCCATGATTTGAACATAAGGTGATTTTGACTTGAAAATTAGAAAAGAAAATGATGACCAACAATCGAAAGAAGTAACCTTTATTGATTAAGCAATTAAAAGAGATAGGGAATATAGGAAGAAAAGACAACACGAGAATTCAGGTCCTCATAGTTTGTAAATGAATGCCAGATAGTAAAGGAAACAAAAAAAAGAGGCCTGAAAACCACGGTCAAGAGAAAAATCAGAGATGTAGTTGAAGAATACCGTGAAATGTGAAAAGGGGAAAAATGTATCACCAGAGAAGGAATAAGTAATACCAAAGAAAAGGAAAAAAGAAAACAACTATTCTGACGGAACAAGGAAAGTCAAGTTCTCACTTGATGTTCTAGGTACTTGGAAATATCATTTCTCCGGCCATCTCAACTACGAAGGAGCATCGATAGCAAAAAAAGCTCATGATATGAATCTTGATGGAACCAGTGAAGTATCCTAAGATTAAAAGAGGAAGAAAGCTAAGTGCATGATGTTTGAAAAAGCACTTTTGGAAGGAGAAACAACAGATTGGCTTGAAAATTTAACGGAGTTCACATACCCTGCGTTCGATTGTCACATAGGATAATGCAACCGAACAGATCAAGCTTAGTATTATTTTAGCTATCCGGTATTACTTTGGACTTTATGAAGATCACACAAAAGACATTTCGTAATGTAATGTAAAGTAACCATCTCTCCACGCAAACAAAAATATATCTCTTTAAGATCCTCATACGCCCAATACTCCTCTATGATACGTGGAAGGAACTTTTTAAGGAACAATTAACAGGGCTTTTTCTTTGAAAGAAAAGTCTTCCATTAGATACTTGCAGGAAAGAGAGGAGGTAATGAAAGGAGTTGTTAATACATCCAGGATATACAGATATACATCGATGGTTCTACTCACAGATGGGTTATGTAAGAGTTGGCTATGTGGCGGAATGGAAGGCGAAGAACAGCCCACAGAGTAGCTCTTTGGAAGATGACTGAAGACCAATGCCTCGAGGAGCAATTTATTTTTAATTTAAAATAGTTTGCAACTCTAGATTATTTTGAAACAGGTTAGGTTTCGGAACTTCCATGGACTATCTTCGATTGGCATCTATGTTTGATATTTTCTTTTGACCAAAAGTAAGCCGCTGAATAATTGTAATAGAATTGAAATTGATGTTGATTAGAATTGGTTAATCGTTTATGTCTCTACTATGTAAAGGGGTGGTTTAGAAATATCTGAACTTGTTTTTATTGCCTGATTATTAGAATTATTAATTTAAAAATATTTAAATATTGTCTGTAAGTATTATTATTTATTACAACGTATAGTAATTTACATATCATAGAACAATTGGGGGTGTCAAAATTGAATGTTTAAAGGAAAGTTTTATTTGTATTTTAAGCTTTTATTTATTTTTTATTTTTTTAAAAGACGATAGTTAAAATGATTTCGTATACTTTTGTTTTGGTATACAAATTGAGTGTGTCACAAATTATATTATGGTTTCTAATTTATTTATTTTAAGCCAACTTATATCAAGTTTTTTATTACCTAAACATACGACGACGTTTCGACTCGTCTTGTCCTTTTCAAGTCTAAGTGCAATTTTTTCAATTTACAATCATTTCTAATTATATTTTCTTTAATTTTCTATGAATAATTATTCATATAATCATTAAAGCATTCTAAAAAAAACCCACATATTTCAAAATATAAAGATTTTTTTTTATATAATTACCTATCATGTACTTTTCCTTTATACTTCTTATGTGAACTACATGTGTCTTCTCATAATAACCAGTATCATGATCGTCATTTATATCTTGAAAATGACGTACGAAACGTCGTCGTAGGTTTGGTTATGAAAAATTGGTGTAAGTTGACTTAAAATAAATAAATTAGAAACTAAATATTATACACCGAAATAGAAGGAAAGAATACTAAAAATGATATTATAATTATACATTAATTTATTTGTTCAGCTATTTCTTCCTACTTTCGGAGCCTTTTTAGGAACAGTAATAAGAAGTCTTTTGGGTCGAGAAAAAAAATGTGACAGATGGTCAAGACTGAATAGTGGAAGAGGAAGCGATGGTATATAGGAAGCGGAACAATGGTCCTAAATGGGGATATCAATGTTAACTGGATTACCGTTAGCCCGCGGAGGACACTCCAAGAGGAAGCAGATCGGTCCATCAGGAAGTCAACGATTAATCTAACGGGCTCTTCCAATCCAAGTCAAATTAACGTCTGCAATAACTGTCAGTGAAAGTTCTGTGCGGGCGTTCCTTATCCCATTCATTCAAATATGGCCTTGCTATCGTTATTGGTATGATACAATATCTAACTGCACACATGAAACTATTTATAATGATTGCCCGTTCAAGTTCGAAAGGCTATTTATGTAATTGTTAATGAATTATCGTAGGCATTTTAAAAAATTGATAAAACATTAGGAGTTAATAAAAGAGAATATGATAGAGAAGTTTCAGCTAGTTTTCGCTTGACAAATAGAGAGAGGATTTCCTCCGACGTAGCATTTAGACGTGGCAACGCTGGCAGAGTACTAACCTTAAATTACTGTCAACTGTCACAGCTCTGTCGTTTTTCAGGCTAGATTTTGTGATTTGTAATCTTACAAAAATGTTCTGGTTTATGTAATAATTAAGTAACTACTATATATTTTTTTAATATGCCATTTTAATGAAACATTTTAATATAATACGTATTTTTTAACAGATAAAATATGGCAATAGACAGTTATATCATTTTTTGATGTATTGATTGCTTTTATAACTATTTCGTCTGTGTATAAATATACACATATGTTGCAAGGAACTTTAGCCTAGCATAATGTTCAATATTTAGAGGAAACCAACTATCGATTATCTTATAAAAACGATTCTAAAACTCTAAAAATACATTAAAAACACCATTTTTTTTAATTACTTTTTATTGTGTCTATATTACTAATCTTATTTTCGGAAATTGGTTTCCAACCAGTGAGCATATTTCTGGATATTTCTTTGGAGAATTATCAAATTCTTTCATGGCTCATAGTCTATCCATTTTGTATCTCTACTAACCATGGGACTTTTAATTACTTCTAATAAACAAGGGTAAAGGTTCTTAAGAAAAATAAAAATTAGAAATTTCAAATTTAAACCCCTTCAGACTTTTAAATGAGGATTAAACCTAAATGATATTAAAAAATATTCAATTTTACATCGTTATAACAAGTTTAAAAATAAAAATCCTTAGAGTTGTTTTCAGAGTTTCTGTAACATTCAAGAGATATAACTTAACTTTAAAATGCAATTTCAGTATTTTACGTTTTCGAGCAATAATGTTCTATCTCACCAACACAGATATTTTTACGAGATCTGGTAATTTGGATGCAGAGGACATGAAAAAGTGTATTTCCGTAAAAAACTAGGATTTTAAATTTTAACGGGTGTCCCTATGATATCCCCTATTTAGGAGGTGAGAGATAGTTTTAACAAATTTAATCTAAATTTAAACGAGACGGATTACATTTTAGGGATCTGTTACTTGCTATTTGGTCAGTAGCTAGTACAAAAAATGTAACAAACTTTAAAAGTATTAATTACAGGTCAGATACTAGTTACTGATTGAGCAAACAAATCTCTCAAAGTTAATATTCTCTTACACAAAAATCGATTTTGTCGTGTTTTTTTGACTGTTTAATCAATTTTATTTTTGTTTTTATAAAAAGTACTGAAAGCTGTGTTGCGCAATTCCATCTTCTAAGTGGTTTTATGCGGTCTCTTTAGTGGCAATAAATCACAAACGTAACACTCTCTATGTACCAAAGATAAGTTTTGAAAACGTAATTAATTAAATATATGAAGTACAGATCGTAATCACAGTAACAAAGGAAGAAAATCTGGGATCTCCTGTGTAGATGAGATTTTAGTATTATTATTTTTGTATTGTGTTATTATTCTCATGTTTTAATTTACTGTAATAATTTAGTTGTTATCAATTGATTATTTCTGGATTTTTTTTTCTTTAATTCTTGCGTAACTGGATCTTTCCAATGTCCGTCGAAGTTATCACTTCCCAAATGCCATGAAACAAACTTCAGAAACGTTCTGCTGATATTGGGCCCTTTCTCAAGATTTATATTAAATGTGGCATCGATTGATTTCGGTTGCCATTTCATTATCATGATAAATCTTGTTAAGATTTATGATAACTGATGCAAAGTTTTGAAGAAGTACTTAAATTTCCCCTAATGCTGATAACAAGAGGTTAATCTTGGTGAAATATTAAATATTTTTAATTCAATTTTTAATGTTGGTACCACAGCCAAATTTTACTTTATCATTTTCTGTATTATATACATATTCTTATTGTATAACTTAGTGAATCACGCCTAAAAACCTAAAAAAAGACCAACACACATTGTTAAAAGTAACATTAATTACCTAATCTAAAAAAAAATACAAAAATAAAAAAAAATGTTGCTTGTGAAAAATGTTCTAAACTTCAAATAAGTATTATTTTTCAAATACCACTCATTTTCAATTCAATGGCGAAAACTAAATCTAAGAATTACACTTTATTCCAAGACAAAATAATTAATTGTGCGAATACAACGAAATAAATTTATCTTCATTTTATTTTTATTTAAATTTTATCTGTTTCCTCCTCCACCCTTCTTCCTCTCTTCACAGATTCTGACAGTTCCCTAGATTCTATTTATAATTTACTGCAATATTTAATATTCTCTTAATTCTCTGTATATCAATTTCATAAATTAATCTTATATTGTAAATAATTGAATTTATCATTATTAATCATTTACAATAAAATTCTGTGCAGAAAGCTGAACAATCCCAAGGATATGTGGATGTGTTCACAAAAACAAGTTAGTTCGTTCTTATGGTATTTTCAACTTTATTTTATTTATTTATTTATTTAGCAGTCAATGGTTAAATAATCAATTTTATTAACCAGTCTATCATTCTTCTCTTTAGTCATCCCTAACATTAAGGTTATTTTTATTTATTACTGTATGTTTTGGTTTTGTGGAATAATGTACGAGTGTGCACAGAGTAGAGAATAACAATCTACAATGTTATTCTGTTCTCTTAGCGGCGATGATTTCACGTTCGAACGGAATTTGAACAGAACTATTAAGTAAATGTTTGTAAACAATTATTTTATCAACAACATGGAGAATGTTTTTATGCTTCTAACGTTTCTAAATGCAAGCGTTTGATAGGAGACCGTCTGCGGACGGCGGTATGGCAAAAACATTTAGTTTTCATTGGAGATGTTTGGATTATGCTGCTCTAGTTCAGTTTAGTTTTATTTTATATTTTGTTAATTTTTCTTTTTCATTTTTTATCACTACAACCTATGAAGGGTTCTTACTGACAAAATTATATTTATTTATTTATTATTTTTCCAAGATTTTTTAAATAAATAAAGGTTTAACTTATTTATGATATTTATACATAAACATTTACATGATTGTAGTCCTTATTCATCATAACAAAGTTCTAAAACATGAAGTTAGAAAATAATTTAATTATTCTGCAATGCAGAGCAGAAAAAAATAATTCAAGCATATTAAATATTGAAATATAAAATAATAAGTTAAAAATACATTTTTCGTTCTTTTGGGTGTACATCGATATATGGTCGTTTTATTGTAATAGGTAATATCCTGTACCAAAGGTTTTTCAAAAGCTAACTTCTTATCAAAATATGATTTAGTTTGTGTATAAACATTTTGCTGAAGAGTGCTTTGTTCAGTAGCTTGTTAGAATGTAGTGTTTGTTTACAAACGGTTATTCGAGTATTTGATGTGGTCAGCTTCCTCATTCTGTCGCCATGTTATTTCTTTCTCAACCTTATAAAAATCTAACTACTCTCTTAGAAGTATGGACAGAGAGAATGCAGTTTTATCCATAAGATTTCTTAGGCCGATCAATATGGAGTCCTAGAGCCCGTGAGAAAAATAAGTTGATGTACTTTCAACTTTCTTTTAAATACCCTAAAATATTTAAGGTTTATTCTGTAAGCATAAAGAATACCTGGACTTGCATTGGTTAAGGAATAGGATTGTCCACCCCCCGTAAAGTTGATGACGCATGCCCCCCTTTCCAAGAATTTTATTGCTTTTTGCTTGAAACAATAGCAAGCAGAAATAAAATTAGAATACATTAAGACCATGTAGATTAATTAAGGCTTACTGTGGTCTGTTCATTTTTTTTGCTCTTGATACCTCGGCATTTCTTGCATTTCTAGAGCTACAACCAAACCTACACTAACCAGAATGGGAATGTCGAGATTCATTCCGTGAGTCCGCCACGAAATAAATTTGTATTCGCTCAGGCCGGATTCGAACCGGCGTCATTAAGACTCCAGAATGTTAGTAGTTTACGGTTCACGATCTCCTGTGCTCTGTTTCATGCTTTTCCTCTTGTTCCCTAGTTCGAAAATTTCTCCAAATTGAAACCATTCCTTCATCACTTCCCTCCTCGATAACTTTAATGGTGCTACTTGCGCCATACAACTCTCATCTTCCTCAACTTTGGAAGAAATAACGTAGCGGTTGAATATGCTGGCTACATCACCTACTAGAATTACTAATGGACCGAGTGCCACAGTCCAAACCTCACTCCTCTCTCCCCATCTGTAGTTTTAGTACTCTTTCTTTATGTGCTTGAGTACTAGCTATTCAAATACATATTGATTTTGATTGAACCCACTGACTCAATTCCATAATCGTTAAAAACAAATTCTTGTACCAGTTTTGTTGATGGAAGGGGATTTTATGATCAACTCCCTTCACTTTGTAAAAATGAGCAAAAAAAGAATACAGGTAGGTATAAAAAAGAAATATGAAAACTATGGACACTAATAAAGTTATTAACAGTTATTTAAAAAAATAACATTCTCGGCAAATTATATAGATAAATGTAATTAATTCGGGCTCTTCCTGGCACTAGCTGATCTAGGATTTAATTTTGGGGCGTCAGCCCTTAAGCTTTATTATATAATGATTATTACCTTGGAAGAAGAAAGATCCTAACTATGTATATGAAATGGCGGTGAAGTAACACGAACACGAACAATAATACTGTTAAAGTTTACTTTTCTATTATCTCTCGAGCTTCAGCCAGAAAGCTCCCTGTTTCGTCTGTGTAATGACAATACAAAAACTGAAAGAGCTTTTGACAACAAGCAGTATGTTTACAATTTATAATTTGTCATAAAAATAATAATAATACACTGTTCCTTGAACTATTAATTTACGTAAACTTCGTAATTTCTAATCCTCCTACTTAATTTCCTAAGTATTTGTTAAGTAAGTTGTCAATTATGAACGATTGGATATCACCTCGATAAATCGAATTACAATCAGTTACTCTCGAACAATATCTCGATTGCTGTATGCATTTCGTCACAAACACAACATATGCACATCCACATGCATAACATATCCAACATATCCACATGCACAAAACTGAATTTCATGTTTCGTTGTATACGAATTCAAATCAAAAGTTATTTTGATGAATTCCAAGCCATAATGCGTTATAATAATTTGTAATTGCGGGAATGTTCAGTATGAATGTGTATCATCGTTATGTTTTTTTTTTTTTTATAAGTAATATTTGTATAAACTATTTCAGATAATTGAAATAATTTCATTCAACTATTTGGAAAGATTAATAAAAATAAATACTGAACTTAGAATTAAAAGTGATTTTGATGATATAAGGGTTTGCTAGCATAGAAATATTATTGACAATTATTTGTTATTAATAGTTATAGGCTACTTAGTAAACATACATTATAAGTGGAAGAGATACGAGAGGAAAAGATCGGTAACCGAAGCAGGAGTTGCGGTAGGACTGGCTCCGAGAGGAATTACGCAAGAGACAAATGGAGCGAGCGACGGCCAGCGAGAGAGTGAAATTAAAACAAAATGAAAAGTGGGTACCCCCACCACTGACCTTGGCCCCTCCCACCGCGGGTGGAGGTGGTGGGGGCAGCTCTGCCCCGGCCCCAGTCGGTAGCTTCAGTTTTCAGTCAGCCGGCCGTCGTTCGGGCCACTTCGGGAGAGCAGTTTCATGTCTCACACTGTTGCCTGACGTGTAGTGCGAGTGTTGTGCCTCTAGGATATTTTGATAAAACTCTACTTCAAGTGCCAGTTATGTCTGCCGCAGTCATGTCGTCCTCATTGTACGACTTCAGCGAACTTATCAAGGTTAGTTAGTCTTGTCACTAGGCACTGTATACTATAGAAAGCGTTCTCAACTCCTGTTATATAAACTAAACCCTCACAGTTTTCGTAACTGATTATGGCTTGGAGTGATATGGAGGAACACTTTCCCTAGTGTACCTTCTAATAGTTCCGTTCACCAGCCTATTGCTAAACTGTTACAAACCAGTCATTGCGATTTCTGTTTGAATATTATTGACTTCGCAACAGCTAGACTTTTGGGCGATTTAGGTTTGCGATTCGCTTAACAGTTCTAGGAAACCTGCGGTCGTTACATAATATCCATTCACCTTTCTCGTAATTAAAAGAAATAAATTTTAGCAAATAATTATAATTTTTTTATACTTTAAATATATAACCACCCCTTATCTATTCTATATTTTATTGAAGTACCTGAACCATTATTCCATCAAATTTAATTACCTAATAATTTGGAAGAGATTTTTGGACTTTTTTTTTTATCACAGTCCTTTAAGGTAGACTGTCATTCATTCTGGATCCTTAAGAAAGTATTCCATCTGTCAAGTGAAATGGCTTTAGGACCGCGGGCCTGCTGCGCATCTTGCGCCTTCGTTAGAGCATCATGTGTTGTAGCAACAAGTGTTGGCCACCTGTTGCACTATCACAAACAACACCATACTGCCCTAGCACTGTCACCCTCCCTCATTTTTTCCCCCTTCATTAATGTTTTTTGAAATTCTACAACAATGAGCTTAAGATGAATAGGAATAATGTTTTAATTTTTATACTATTTGATATCTCGTCTATTCCTAACATAAATTTCTCAATTCACTATCCATTAATGTTATTAATTGCTCGTTATTGGAATTAAATTTTAAAAGCTTTCATTATCTGCTTTGATCATGTTATTGGATATTAATTTTAAAATAAATGAGAGGCAGTCACCGTTAACTTAGATAATGAAGAAACTCTCTATGCATTGTTATCTTTCAAAAGAGATAGCGCCTTGATTGATGGACTGGGGGGAAATTGTGTTTTATTATGAACCATCATGTCCTCCGTCATGCAGTTATTTTTGAAGAAAGGCGTTCAGAAATTTCATTACATAACAGCAGTTCGCTTTATTAAAAATATTTTCTTAGTTATTCTTAAATTGTATATGCATTATCAAATATTACTTAGATACAGAACTTTAAATCGTCGGAAATTATAGTTTTTCACAAATACATTTATTCGATAAAAAATTATTCCTCCTTTTTACTCGACTTCTTAAGTTGATGTAGTTTCCATGATCATTCTGATTTGGAATAAAATATCGCCCAATTATTTCAGCTACTCTTGTAGCACTCCAAGCTTACACGAACCACCATAATCGATCTTTCATCTCCCAAGTTCCGGTCGAATGGTGGCCGTTTTCGAATCTGTTGGTGAAAGCGTTCCAAGGCCTCTGCTTCCGGCATGAAGAATCATAAAGACGTGTACTTCCTTGTTTCTTGAATCGATTGATAGATTTTGAACCTAAGTATAATATAATTTTGCATATCTTTACATAATTTGTTTTGTCATATTTTCTTTTCATTCTATATTATTTATTCTCTTAGAAAAAATATTTCTCCCTCTCCTCCTGTTCTTAAATCAGATTATTTAACATTACATTTTTCGGAATGTAGGTAGTATATGTACCAGATATTACATTGACAACAATGATATCTTTCATCTTTATAATTTGTTAAATATGCGTAGCTTTTGAATTAGTACTTTTAAGTTGAAATAGGCTTTCTGGATTGTATTGCTTTTAAGGATTTGGGTCAGGTATCCATCACTTCCCAGTATAAAGATCTCGTTTCCTTGTTCCAACAATACTTGGTAAGCCCAAACCCATTACAGTTGCCGTCTCCAGCGTGTTGGTTTTTTCAAGAATGTTCTCTTACAATTTGAAATATATGGTTTTTTTCATTTCTGTTGAGAATTATTTAGTGTTTTCCTGTATAAGGTTTTCTGTAATCAATCATGTTTTCCCATTATTTTCACTGATAAGGACTGTTGTACGGCTGTGATCGATTAATTTCGGTTCGGTCGCTTGATGAGATTTTTGTTACTTTCGATAGGTTGTTTTTCATCGAATTGTAATTACAAGATTTTATTACGTGTTCTGTGAGCATGACGGGTATATTGCATTGTATACATCCATCATAAATGAATAATTTATTTATTTTTACTTAAATATTCATGTATTTAAAATTTTTAAAAAATCTAGTCAATTTAAATATTCAATATTATATTTATGATCGTTTTATTCATTTTGTGGTTTTTTTTTCTATATTAATAAATTTCTTGTTTTACAAGACAAGCTAATTTGACTAAAAATATCCCTGTTATTAATACTATTTCATGTTAGTCGTCATTCATCATTCGAAACCACTTAAGTGACAAATCCCATCTTTGGATAGAGTTTGTCCAAAAAAATTTTTTTATGAATTAAGATTTCTAATCTGTACTCAGCTAAGATTAACAATTAATTGCTCATAAAATTTAGAAGAAGTACGCTCAAATTAAAAATATCTTAAATGCACATGTTTGGTACAGCGCAAAGAATGTGTTTCTTTGTTAAATTTCATTTTCCTCAGGTAGCTGAAAAACATAAGTTTTGTTATGATAGTATCCAAACATTATTATTCAATTGTGAATTTTTCTTATGCAATTTTTTTTTGTTAAATAAAATTGAAATTTTGACTAGTTCAATAGTTTTTAGACAGCTTGAGTTCTTTTGAAATCTAACAGCTGATAGAGGAAATTCGAAAGAGCAGGGATCTTGAAAAGTGTTTTGATGTAATGGAAGTTTCCAAGGACAAGTTTGTAGGTTTCTCTCGCACCATGTTCCAAACATATATATATATTCTTTTTTGCCACGGGTCCCATTATTCGTTTTTTTTGCTGGGTTAATTGAAAATGTCAGATGATTTTATCTCTGGTGAATGATATATCGGGTTGTTTAGTTAGTTTTTTTTTTCCGAAACTTCCACGTAATGAACAAGAGATAACGACATATTTTCCTCAATAGTATTATTTGGTGATAGAAGTACTTGATTATGGTATGAATGTGTTCATATATCACTATAATTATTGTTCACGTGACAGATTGTTATATTCCTAAATAAATAAATTTTTAAAAAATTACTATTATAGTGCCTATACAATAGGCTGGTAAAGAATCGTTAGTATATTTCTTGCTTACTATATTTATTGCTAACTTATATCTTATTTCTTACGTAGGTTTTACATAACAATCAGTCTAATTTATATATTTTGATAGTATCATATATTTGTAATGATGTTTATATATATGTATTTGTTACGCAGTTGTGCTCTGTTACGATTCTTGTCTAACCTTGAATGTATTTTTTTTTTAATTATCTGTTTTATGTTGTTTACTCCTTCGTAGAATTTTCCTGTATGTAATGAATCTTTTTTCTATTTGTATGTCAATGCATAAACAATTTTAAAGCTACTGAAACTTTGTTTACATTAACAATTTTTATTTCTGTTAAATTTTGAGACCCATGTGTGTGACTTGTATCGTTTGTTCATTCCAAACTGGTATCATTTAATTTATGTATTTATTGCCAATTCTCAAAGAAGTTATATTTTTTGGATCAGTGGTTTTTGTGGACGAGTTTAGTGAACTTAATATTTTGTTTTTGCTTATAGCTTCGTATTTCAGAATTTTCTAAATCATATTGGTGTAATTACGTATTATTAATTTTTTGTTTATTTATTTGTTTTATTTAGTTTCAATAATTTTCTACATGGAAAATAATTTAATTTTTTTTAAAGATAAAATGAATTTATTGACATTAAGAAACCTTACAATCTATCAATTAACTCGTTTAAGAATGTATTGTCTTACTGAAATATAAACTTTCAAGTTTCTCAATTCAGGCTTTAATAGTTGTTTCCTGGTATGATAGTCTTGACATTTCGTGTTTCTTCGTTGGAGTATTGCCTTGACAACTTTCCCTTCTGCATTAGAGAGGAATTCGTATTTCCCCATCTATAATAAATTTTCTGTTTTATTATTTTTGTAGTTCATTCTATAAATAATATAATAAATCCTTGGTTGTTTTCATTTATATCTCTTGCGAGGTCGAGGGTTCTCTTCTTGTTTATACACAGAAGAGACTTTAGACCTGTGGAGGCTATGTTTCTTTTGGGTTTAGTGTAGACTGGGACACTGTCAGAATTGGATGCTGCTTTTACAAACAAGACACTGTTGGCTGAAAAATGTCACTAGTTAACGCGCATTTGATAGATCTTTTTATCCAGTGTTTAACTCTTGAGTATAAGGTGTGTGACAATGATTTTTTTTTATATTGTTTTATTTTATATTTAATAGTAAATGTCTAATTTGTTAATTGTAGATTTTTTTTTTAACAGCTAAAGTACATCGAATTTCTAAAATTTTTGTTGAACAAAAATATTATTCCTTAATATTCGTTGGCTATAAAAAACATATTATTATGTTACACGTATTATATGCGTATCTTATTCTAAATAACTCAAAATATTTTATTAGACCTCATGTAAGAAGTTTAGTTTCTAATGAACAAAATCTTATTATTCAAAAATTTAATGTTTAATTTTTTTTAATGATTCAATTATAGATCTATGGTTGTAATTTTTTTAATTGTGCCATTTTATTTTATAATATAAATTTAAAATTTTTACTATTATATTTTTATAATCAGTATACTGTGTTAGTTAGTAATTCAGCACTGTTGAGCAGCAAGTTTTATTATAGTTCTCTCATGAGTATAAACTATTTAAAAAAAATAACCTGTTTTTTCTAAATGTCTGTTTTTTTTTTTCTATTATCTTATTTTCTCCTAAAATACGTTATAAATTACTAGATGCCTCCCTTCCCCGCATAGTAATGAAAAGAACCCACGTTCGAAGGGGTTGAACTCTAAATTGCTTTCGGAATTTTCTACCAGACCCCATCGAAGAACAAATGTACCTGTATTTAT